CAATCATAAAACACACATTTTTCACACGAAGACACTGGAGTTCGAAAGTTCAATGGCGATGAAGACTTTGAGCCTTCATCTTTTCAGGCCCCCAGACTCACTTAAAGACCACCGACTCAATAAAACGGATAAACTGCGCAGCCGCAGCTAATTTCCATACCATGAAGAGAATAGGTGGGGATAGATACTGAATATGTATAGGTGTTATAGAATATGCATGATTTTTGTGAATAAATAGAGGAATTCTGAATGTTGAGGTACGCAGGATTTGGGAAGATGCTCTCCCCCTGCGTCCAGCACTGAATAAAATACGTACCTACTTTACAACCTTTGGTTGTGGAGTCATTTACCGCGTTTCAAGAAAACTCCTGCAGGCACGTGCCCCAGTTAACTCTATCCCTTTATTCGAATAAAGTTGCAGGACTCCTCTTTCTCCTTTATGGAGACTGGCTTTTCATAGCGTGATTTTCTGTACAACAGTAAGAAAACCAACAATATGCTGCACATCACATTCCTTTTACCCATTTCCAGAGCACAGGCGAGATGCCAGCACTCCTCTACCACACTTTTCTTCTACTACTCAGCTGCTACATTGAGACAGGCGGTCAGGAGTGCAAGCACTCACAGCTCCCAGAAAGTGGTGGTGAGGTCACTCCCCCAACTACCCCCTGCCCCACACCACCGCCCTCTGCCTCAGAGCCCCTTATATTCCTGCCTTGTGCCAATGCTTCTCTACCATAATCCAGCCATCCCAACTTCGTGCACCTCACTACGACCCCCGCCTTTCTCAGTTTGTCATGTCCCTAGTCTAGTCTAGTGTAGTCCCACCCCGCCACCACTCTCCGTCTTTTCCGCCCGCCGAGGGACATTTCAAGAGCACATATGTATAAAAGTATGCATCTATTCCCCCATCGCTCAGAGACGCGCGAGGTAAAAGGCGCCCGGACACTTAAGAAGACCAGCGAGGGAAGCAATTCCCGGCCTCGCCTCGCCCCGCCCCGCCCCTTGGGCGGAGCTCGTTGTAATAAGAGGCAGAGCGAGCTGCCGCCATTTTTGGCTGGTAGTGTCGGTTTGTGTTTTGTCTTCTGTCTGCTTCCGTCTTCCCTGAAGGAGCTGTCGCTGCTATCGTCATGTTCTCCACCCGCGTGGCTGCCTCCTTTGCCCGCTCCCTGCCTCGACAGGCCGGCCTGGTGAGCGCGTTCCCCCCTCCCTGCAGTGAGCGAAGGCGGTGGGTGGGAGGCGGCTGCCGCCGCCATCTTGGGGGCCGCGGTGACATTGAGAGGCTGCGGCCTCCCGCTCTCGGGGGTTTGGGGGAGGAGGGGGGGGGCTCACCTTAGCGCTGGGTGTCAGCGGGGCCAGACCTACCGCTGAGAGAGCNGGGGGGGGGGTCTAGGGGACAGCCTGTCCTTCCCCGGTGATGTCGCTTGATGCTGTTGGGGTTCAGGTTAATGTCCTAAAGCTGCCCGATCCCAATCAAGGTGAGGGATTTGCGCTGCAAAACTTTGCCAGGTAGTGGGTTCCCCCCCCCGCCCCGTGTTGGTGGGGAAGAGCGAGAGTGTGAAGATCTGACCCGACCTGTTCCCGCTGGTGTCCCTTGTGAAGGTGAACGGAGGAGACGCCTGCCCAGGCGTTCAGAGAAATAGCATTAACGGTGCCTGGAGATGTACTGGGAGCTTTACTTAGGACATAAGATTATAACATTTTATTGCATTCGTTATCACAGATTTTTTTTTTTTTTTGGTCGTTATTTTTGCTCTCGTCTATGTTCTAGCCATACCAGAAATTTTGCAGATATTTTTTTTTTTTTAGGAAGGCCAACCCTTAGAAGACACAATATTATTTCTCTCTTGTGGAGAACCGTGAGGGTTGTGATGATTTCTTTCTGCCCCAAGCATTTGGTGTTCAGCACAAAGTTGGCAAGTGAGAGATGTTGCTTTGGGATCTGCTGTGGTACTGTGGTGGTGACAGCAGTGCAATGCAGAAAAATGCAGCGAATAACTTAGAGCAATCTCTTTTACCAGCTGTCCTTGCTTAGTAGTGCTGTACTTGGATCCATAACTAAAACTTGTGATTGGAGTGCTGTGGAGCTAAACTCAAAACTGAGAGACATTAAATTTATAAGCTCACGATCAAAAATATCACAGTATTATCTCTCAACCTTTTTTTTTTTTTAATGAATGAGGAAATTTTACAGTTACTGAAGCAATTACTTGTTTTAGATTTCCAGAAACACCCTGGGTGCAGCGTTTGTTGCTACAAGAAACCTCCATGCCTCCAAAGCATGCTTTCAGAAAACTGGTGAGTCTGAGGAAGGTCTTCATATAACAGTGTGGTTTAAGAACTTGCTCTATCAGACAAAAGGGAATTTGAATATGGTGTGTGTATCAGTTGACAGAATGCTTGAGGACATTTATGAACTGACAGTATTTAACTGAACTTTTGCATAGCCACATCCAGCAGACTTCACTTTAATAACTATTTAGATTATGCCTAAACCAAGGAGTGGTCACATGTCAGTTTACACAGTTTACCTGTTTTGTGAGGATTCCATTCAGAATTATCTTATTCTGATATTCAGAACTCTTGCAGAATTATTTGGAAAAATAAAAAGCCTCAAGTTCCAGTTTTCCGTCTTGTTTGTAACAGTATGAAGGAACAGATGACTCCCAGGCCTGCCAGTGTTTTATCCTTTAGCATAACTTTTTGCTGCCAGCATTTTGGTGTTTAGAGAAAACAGTGGCCTTGCATAGCTGTGTTTTTGATAGTGGTTCATATACAATTTTCCAAGTGGCTTGGGGTTATTAAAGGTATTAGGAAGTAAAAATTTTGCAATTTTACTTACTGTTTCCTGGCTGGGGAAATAAAGGGTTGTTGGAGGTACACTGCCAAACAAGTTTGAGGAATATGGAGTATACGTTTTTACAGCTTATATCGAACAACTTGCTTCTTAAATGTATCGAGTTCCTTTAAATATATTTGGATCTTGGATTACAAATCACAGGGTGTTTTGATGCCTCCAGTTTAAGTAGCCTCTCTGCAAGTGGAGTGAGAATGTCTGTTCTTAGCCTAATTATTTATTTTCTTTCTAGAGGGAGAGATTGTTAATAGTGTAAGACATGAAGGAAACTGGTAACTAAACAGTCATCAATGTTTAAATTGAAGCTGTCTTGTAATGATGTGTTGAAGCTGCTTTTCTTAGCTGGGAATACAGAAGCTGTTATTTATCTTATGCATCTAGTATGTTGCTTGCTAGACCTTGTGGCATACCAGAGAGAGCACCTTGGCCTGTGAATTCAAGACAAGCTTACTGAATTCATATCTTGCCTTAGTGTGCTAAGTCAGGTGTGAAATGTCTCTTTCCAGGTACTGCTGAGGTATCCTCTATTCTTGAGGAACGTATTTTGGGAGCTGACACCTCTGCTGAACTTGAGGAGACTGGCCGTGTGCTCTCAATTGGTGATGGTATTGCCCGCGTGTATGGCCTAAGAAATGTCCAAGCAGAAGAAATGGTTGAATTCTCTTCTGGACTGAAGGTAAGCTTTCACTAAAGCAGTTTGTTTAGCCTAGGAATATTTTTTTTTTTAAATAAAGACTTTTAAAGGAGAATGAGACTGTTCTTGGAGGTACCCATATGAACCTCTTGCAAACTTCATTTCAACTTTAATAAGTAGCAACTAATTAATGTAATGCTACAAAAAGCAAATATTCTTTGAATTCATAACACTTTGCTTTCAGTATCTGGTTCTTGGCCAACATTTAAATTTTGTGTTTCTTCATCTAGGAAGTAGAAGAACTAATCTTCTGTTGGATTTTGTTTTCTTTGGTTTCATTCTGGCTTTTTTGGTTACTGTTGAATAACAGCCTCGTTTTATATTAGAATAAAAAAGCTGACTGTTCTGAGAGTACTGCAACAGCTCTTATAATATTTTTAATAACCTAACTCGCCTTGGCCAGAGAAATAAGCTAGTGTTTTTCCCTCATACAATTCCTAAGCAAGAGATAAAAGTTGTATTTGAATCCTGCTTATCCTTTCTGTTCTTTTTAGAGAGATAAATGACAATGCTAGACTGATGCAGTATAATTATGTGGTAAGTTGAAGGCTTAGGCAGGCAGGTTCTCTAACCAATATGGAAATAGATGCATTGTTCATAAAAGCAGAACTTTGATTATTGTTACAAATAAGATTGAGGTAGATTATGTGGCATACTCTACACTGTAGAATGATCACATTGATATTAAACTGTGACAGTTTTTGTTGATGTTGGTATGGGTTTTCTCAGGATAATGTGATGTTTGTCCTAGGGTATGTCCTTGAATTTGGAGCCCGACAACGTTGGTGTTGTTGTGTTTGGTAATGGATTAAATGATAGCATCTTTTCAGGAACAGTTGACCAAGGCTGCATATGTAATAGGGCAACAAACATGTTAATCTAGTACAGTAACAATGTAGTGATGCTGCCTGGGCTTGCTTTATCAACTTATTACTTCACATGTTTGTTGTATTTGCTGATTACAGGCATGGTGAGGTAATATACTCAGTGGTGTGTTTCTCCATTTCTTTACAGATGCCATGAAGTACACTATTGTGGTGTCTGCCACAGCATCTGATGCAGCACCCCTTCAGTATCTGGCTCCCTATTCAGGCTGCTCCATGGGTGAATACTTCAGAGACAATGGAAAACACGCATTAATCATCTATGACGACTTGTCCAAGCAGGTCAGGAAACATTGTTTATAGGCCTCATAGTCTAACATTGGTGTTTGTAGCTGTAATATCACCTGAAGTTTAGAAATCCAAAATGTTAAACGAGCTTCTGAGGTCTGAAAGCTTTCTTTATACCATGCAGGCTGTTGCCTATCGTCAGATGTCTCTGCTGCTGCGACGTCCACCTGGCCGTGAAGCCTACCCAGGTGATGTGTTCTACCTACACTCTCGACTGCTGGAAAGAGCAGCCAAAATGAATGACTCCTTTGGAGGTGGCTCCCTGACCGCCTTGCCTGTCATTGAAACTCAGGCTGGTGATGTGTCTGCTTACATTCCAACCAATGTCATCTCCATCACTGATGGACAGGTAGGACTTCTTCACATCCCAGTGCACATCTTTGTTATTTACTGTCAGGTCTCTGAGGAGGCTTCCAAGCTTCTGACCAAGATAATAAAACAATTCTCTCTCTTACAGATTTTCTTGGAAACTGAGTTGTTCTACAAAGGTATCCGTCCAGCCATCAACGTTGGTCTGTCTGTGTCCCGTGTGGGTTCTGCTGCTCAGACCAGGGCTATGAAGCAGGTAAGCATGAAACTACTGCTTCTCTTGCTAGAGATGAGTAGTGTGTAGGCCTTCCAACCTATTTCACTCTAAAGAGCTGTGACTAGAGAGGAAATAAAGTTTTGGATTCCTTAGTGTTATGAAACTATAAAAGAACAAACTTTGGGGATCTCTGATATTTCCATTACTTGTTGAGTGAGGTGGGGGAGAAAGGAAAATAGTATCTGCATAAAGATGTAGGATTATGTTTCCATATGCTGAGCTGGGTACTGATCTAACTAGAAATAGAGAATGCTCTCTTAACCCTGTGCTTTTAGTCCATATATGGAATTAGAGGTTTAATATCAATGGTTACTGTTTTAGGGAGGCATGCTTATATTAAAAAGTGGGATATTTAGAAATGTAAATAATCATCTGTCAGAATCTTGGGATTTGCTTTTCTGGTATAGAAAGTAAAGCTGACTTGTGACAACTGTCATCTGAAGATAACCTGCAAACTCCTAGATACCTTTAAAAGGTGATCAAACTCAGTCTCATCTGTATCTTGTGTTGTAGGTGGCAGGTACCATGAAGCTGGAATTGGCTCAGTATCGTGAAGTAGCTGCCTTTGCCCAGTTTGGCTCTGATCTGGATGCTGCTACACAACAGCTGCTGAACCGTGGCGTACGTCTGACAGAGCTTCTCAAACAAGGACAGTATGGTGAGTGTCTTGAACTTAAAAAGTCTGCATTTCACATTAGTGTCTTGTGCTAACAAGATTGGTCTTTGTGGCAGCATTTACCATGTCCATTCTGTGCACATGGTAAATGCAGACTTGCTTGAATCATGTTGTATATATGCAGTTGATCTTCAAAGGAAGGACTGCATAGTACTGGTGTGTCCTGATGTGAGAGTTAGTGGTGGCATGAGTGCTCTCTTTTCTGCAGTTCCCATGGCTATCGAGGAACAGGTTGCAGTCATCTATGCTGGTGTAAGAGGTCACTTGGACAAGCTGGAGCCCAGCAAGATTACAAAGTTTGAGAGTGCTTTCCTAGCTCATGTACTGAGCCAGCATCAGGCCCTCCTATCCACAATCAGGTATGATTTATCCTGCTTCATCCCAAGGATATCGATTTGATGGCTGGAGTGCAGATAATGGTCCCTGAACTGTTAATTTAGTGTATTCCAGAACATCAGGCCTTAAGCTGCCTGTACCAGAACTGGAAATTAAATCAGCCTTCCAGTTGTCCAGAGCACAGCTTCATGATTTTAGTTCTTAGGAAATCCAGTTGATGCTTAAAATGGAGAAGGGGTCTTCTGTTTGATGCATGAATCTGTATTACTAACATAAATGTTTTAATTCATCTACTAATTTTGTTAGAAATTGGAAGGTTTGCTGTGAAGCCTTTTTCTTTGTCTTAGGGATTGACCATCTATCTGTTTCTGTGTCAGAAGTTTAACTAAACTCTTTCAACAGGACTGAAGGGAAGATCTCTGACCAGACAGAAGCTAAGTTGAAGGAAATAGTCACAAGTTTCCTGGCTACTTTTGAGGCATAAACATAAAACTGTGCAAACAGACCGGGCTCTTGTGATCCAGTGCTCCAGTTCAGTCAAAGATTTAAAAGTATGTGCAACTTGAATGTACAGATCTCAATGAGAATAAAAGTTCCTATGTAAAAAGGCTTCTATATTCTGATTGCCTTCTGGCTAGCTGCTTTCACCTTTACAACTGTGGAGGACTTCCTGTGACATGTGCTTGCTTAAAGGAACTCTGAAAAATTGGGGGCATCTTAACTCCCCAGCTGGATCAAACTCCCCTTACATGGATGAGGAATTGTAGCAGTTAGTTTCTGGAGCTATGACCACAGTTCTCATTGTGACAGCTGAGGCTTGCTCTTGCAGTTGTAATACTTTTTGCCAGGCAGCTATCTGAGAAAACCTGTTTCCCCAGCTGAATGCCTATGTTGTCTTGTCATGGGTGGTAACTAGTTGGAACTCGCAGGAATCTCTAACCGCCTGATACTGTTACAGAGTATTTCTTAGAATTGCTGTCAAACCTATCCTGGGGCCTGGCTTTTGCAAGATGGGTTCTTGTGGAACTGAGGTCCTTGTGTCTCAGGACAACTGTAGTTTATTCTAATTTTGTCAGTAAACTGTCAGCAATTGTTAGTGGGTGGGAGGGAGGTTATATACCAGAACATTGCTTTAATTTCCCAACTTCTGCATGCCATGTGAGGCATTAGATTCCAGTGTTAGACCTATCTGGGATGTAGGAAAGTTAAAAGTTGCTCTACTTTGTGTGGTGTATTCAACTTCAGCTGGTACACTGGAGCTTGGTCCTTAATCCTTGGTGAGCTTTTGTACTGCAAGTTACCTGTGATCAAGACTGCTCTTAAGGCTGTTCGCTCTGTTCCCAGTTAATTTCCTTCACAGGAGCATCTTTGCCTCCCAGTTCAAACCTCCTGTGTTACAAGCAGCTAGAAGCATTCTCACACAGTTCCAGGCTAACAATCTGCTCTGTTGTACTGGGTCTGATGGAGGTAAAGTTCACAGCCCACACAGTGCTGTGCTTTGCATTAGTAGCTGGAAGGATGTTGATAACAGGCCACTATTTTGGCTACTGCTGAGCAGTGCTGTCCCTCTGACATTCCTTCCCCCATCACAGGGATGGGAGTGGGCAAGATCTTGGGAGGGGACACAATCATGCCAGCTGGCCCAAATTATCCAAAGGGATAGTCCATACTGATGCCTTTTGGGACTACCTAAAAACAGAGGCCAGACAAAATTAAGGGACTAAAAAGCAGTTTTATTGCAGGGCCTTCAGATACATTTTGGGCAGATGAAGCCTCCTCCAGGGGCTACACCCAAAAAAATGGATGACAGGTCACAGGTTTTCATACTTTTATAAGTTTGGTCCATTTGCCTATAGGGGGTTAATCTTCCAATTACAGCTTCCAGTAATGAAGTAATTTACCCTAAGTTTGCTCTCCCTTCAACTCACTTTTGTTTACATTTATCAGGGCCTGAGACAGTAAGGTGTCCTTGATTCCCAGGCCTAGAGAGGAATTGTTTTGTCTGACCAAAATGGGAAAACAGAAGCTAACTGTATATGGAGTTTAGAGTTATACACTAAAGAATTGCAGAATTACAAATATATGAAAAATAGAAAAGCTAAAATCCTAAGGCATCAATACCATATGATGTCAGTTCAGATATATAAAGCTAAAGGGAGAGAAAAGGAAAGGGGTATTCATGATTCTTCAAAGTTTTCCTTCCAGAGGAATCATTATGTGTGCTGAAGCCCTGCTTCCCAAGAAGTGTCCAAACATCACTGCTGATGGGAAGTAGAGATTGAGTTTTCTTTCCTTTAGCTTATGCGTACGCAGACTCTTGCTTATTTCTTTCCTTTCACTGTAATAAAACTGCCTTATCTCACCCACTGGTTGTTCTCCATCTTATTCTCTCCCCTGTCCCATTAAGAAAGCGAGTGATATAGCAGCTTAGTAGGCACCTGGCATGCAGCCATGGTCAACCTGCTACATCTGTTAATGGCCTGAGTGTTTGGAGTGTGAGCTCTGCAGTACAGGAAACAAATAGACTTATTTTTAGCCCGGGAGTGTCAGACATCTTTCTGGGGAAAGCTGGCATGTTAGAGTAGGCAGGCCATGGAAAGTCAGCTGTTGTAGGCCCTTTAGGCCATGATGGCATGGACTCGTATTGATGGCTTGTGCCTTCTTGGGAGTGTGGACAGGGTTAGTCTGGTTTAAATTAGCCTCAGGTTACAGTTAAGCAGATTTGTTTCAGTAAGTGGAAAATGTTTTTTTTGTTTTTTTTTTTTTACATTACTGTTTTAGCTATCCACATGTTAAAGTGGGCAGCAGGTGTGACTCAGGCTTTCCAGCACAGTGTCCTATCTCAGCTGCTTTCATCTTTAAGCACTGTTTAGAGGTTGTTTACCTGGCCTCTCCTCTTGGTCAGCAGCCCATAATAAGCTTATGAGTAAGAGCAGGATCTGTATTGTGAAGGAGGGTTGTGTCTTATGAGAAGTAGCTGAGGGACCTGGGGGTGTTTAGCCTGGAGAAAAGGAGGCTCAGGGGCACCTTTTTGTGCTCTACAACCACCTGAAAGGAGGTTGTAGCAAGGTGGGAGTTGGTCCCTTCTCCTAAGTAACAAGTGACAGGACAAGAGGAAATGGCCTCCAGGTGCACCAGGGAAGGTTTAGATTGGATATTAGAGAAATTTCTTCACTGAATAGGTGGTCAGGCATTGGAACAGGCTGCCCAGGGAAGTGGTGGAGTCACCATCCCTGGAGGGATTTAAAAGATGTGTAGATGTGGCACTTGAGGACATGGTTTAGTGGTGGGCTTGGCTGTGCTGGGTGAATGGTTGGACTCAATGATCTTGGAGGTCTTTTCCAACCTAAACAATTCTGAAACCTTTCCAAAATACTCTGGCAACCACATGCCAAGCCAGCTGGGGAAAGCACTGCAGGTTGTATGGGCATGGCCGTGCAGCTGCTGGCTGTGTTGCTCATCCTCTGCTCTGCATTTCCTTTGGGAAACTGTGTTGGTTAATTGAGTTCAGCTATCACTAGTGGGTTTCTCCCATGGCATGCCAATGCTAGTATGTTGCGTTCCCCCGATCTCACCCATCTGCAGCAGTGCACTGACGGCAACTGACAAAAGAGATGTGGACTCCATGGTTTGCACACATGTAGCTGTTTATTGATTTGCAAAGCTGAGCTTATATACCTTTTCAGCTGTAACTAAAAATAGCACAACTATAACATTTATGTAACTAGGTAACATTGCTTAATTCAAAGCCTTGTACAGACTAGCGCAGGTATGTGAAATCTTACATAATTTCTGCTTACTAAGTACATTGCACCAAGCACACCACTAACTTCTGCATTCCTTCTTCAAAGTTCTTTCTGTTGCCAAGGCTTGCAGCCTACTAATGCTAACATATCCACTTCTGTCATGAGCTGGACAGTACTCCCAGCTCAGCTTTCTAGCTGTGTTCCTACATTTCTCCCTTTATTTTCCACCATTAAAATTTTCTTTGTGGATTGATCAGTCTCTGAACACATTGCAAGACACATGGCAAACAGATCATCATAAGCAATAATGTGGCTAAAATATAAATTCCTGTTTTAGCTAAGTATTTAAGCCAGCCAGTAAGCCCCCATCCCCCAAGTATGTGCCCAAGCCAATTGCTATCATATACTACTTTTAATTTGGTTACACTATCTCAAAGAGCCTGTAAGCATGAATAGACAGAGTTGTCAGAAAGGTTCATGCCGCATAAGTCTTCAAAATCCTTGCAACCGTGTCCATGTGCCAAAAGCAAAAAATCTATTGCAGCTCTATTCTGCAGTGTAGCATGTCTCACACTATCAACATCTGTTAATAAGCCTGTTAGAGCTAGTAGCAGTAGTTTGCTTTGCAAGCCAGCAGCCAAGGTTATTTAAAGTTTTTAATGCATGTGCCATGCCTATAGATGGAATAATTGAGGCAAACACTCAGGCTCCAATGTTCCAGGAGTTGATGTTATCATTGCAATCTGGACTATATGTGTGTGTGCTACGCTTTGCTCACACCAGTCTGTGTAAAGATGGTAAGTTTTCCTGGAAGGAGTGAAACATGGTTAGTCACGTAAAAGTGCAAGGGCCTCCCACAGCTCTTCCTAGTATTCCTTTCCAGGCTCTATTTGCACATATCAAAAATATATTGTCTATTAATCCAATAGAAGCCACTCCAGGTAAAATTGGCTGAGGTAGAGTATGATTACACCAGACAGAAGCATTGGCATAAATTCCCGTGCCTGAAACATCAAGGCTGAATCTTTTATCAGCAAAGGGTCCACTAGTATGATTTAGAAAGAAATATGCAAAGGACTGTGTGTATCCAAAAATGTCCAATTCTTGAGGCGGTAAGGAAAGAGTAAAAAAGTCAGAAACTTTATTTACCCCTAACCCTCTGTCATTAGCAAAATACCATCCAGCTGGCCTATTACTCTTTTTGTGATACTTATCATTGCACCACCACACCGGCTCAATTCGACCTGGGGCGGCACAATCCCTGTGCATTGTCCCGTATAAAGCATCCTGTGGAAGAGGTTTTACAGCAACTTCTGTGAGCCAGAGAGGTCTGATAAGAGGATCCATGTTTACCCCTGAAAGAATTTCCTACCAAGGTTGTTGACATAGAAACCAAGAAAGAGAGAAGGATAAATAAGAGAAACCTGCAACTCTCTATTCCAATAAGCACTTTGTCTCTTCTGACCAATGAGTAAAGTGTAAACTTAGGAGTTTTTTAAGAACATATAAAAAGTATGCGTGCTATAATAAAATCAAGTTTGAAGCCTTCTGAATCACACTATCAACATCTGTTAATAAGCCTGTTAGAGCTAGTAGCAGTAGTTTGCTTTGCAAGCCAGCAGCCAAGGTTATTTAAAGTTTTTAATGCATGTGCCATGCCTATAGATGGAATAATTGAGGCAAACACTCAGGCTCCAATGTTCCAGGAGTTGATGTTATCATTGCAATCTGGACTATATGTGTGTGTGCTACGCTTTGCTCACACCAGTCTGTGTAAAGATGGTAAGTTTTCCTGGAAGGAGTGAAACATGGTTAGTCACGTAAAAGTGCAAGGGCCTCCCACAGCTCTTCCTAGTATTCCTT